ATATATATATATGAAGTTATATATTTTATGAAGTTATATATATATATGAAGTTATATATATATATATATATGAAGTTATATATTTTATGAAGTTATATATATATATGAAGTCATATATATATATATATATATATATATACATATATATATACATATACACATATATTTATACATATATACACATATATATACATATACAGACATATATTTATATATATATATATACATATACATATATATATATACATATGCATATATATATACATATGCATATATTTATACATACGCACATATATATATATATATACACACACACACACACACACACACATATATATATATATATATATATATATATATATATATATATATATATATATCGTCATCCACTGACAGAATGTTTCGCTGTATCACAGCTCCTCAGTGTGGTTAGACATCCGATCCCTTCAAACTGGGACCGAAACCCGATTGATTTGGTATCAGTTGGAGATTCTAACACCTAGGCTATCGACACTCGACAGAGAGACACAGGTGAATTTTTGCGTATTTATTTTTTCATAAACACGCTAGTTACCTTGAGGACTCAATCCGTTGGGAGAGTCTTGCATTAGTAACAGTCACTGATTACATATTCGCGCTTTTTCCCCATAGGGCTCGAACGAATTAGTATTAATAATGTATTTGAACAATGAATCGTCTTTAGATGTGTATATGAAATAAGCTTTAGAATAAATGTTTATAAAAAAGGATTACTTTTGATGCACCTAGATAATTTGCTTGATTGGATATAGAAAAAAAAACTTGCATGATTATTATATCGCATCATACACAATAATTATAAATGGATACTTTAACGGTACTATCCAAGAATGACGAAAATAATTAAATTTCTAACTACTACCTTTTTTTCATTAATATTTGACAATGTTTGTGTTTAATGTTGTCGCATGTAAAAACATAAATCCTTATTTAAATTGTTAATGTAAGAAAAATACAGAGTATTGAATTATTATTATATTTTATTTTCATATTATTATAATTGAATTATTATATTCAATTATTTGGTTATATTCTCTGCATGCCATGTAGGGTTTTATCAGTACAGTTGACGGCATTTATCAGTACAGTTAACAGTATTGTTGCATGTAAGAAAGAATTCAGTTTTCAAATCATTAAAAAGTATAAATATCCAAAAAAACTATCACGAAACAAAAGAAGAAAACTGAAATCTATTATTATCATCTAGATCTGGACTTCTTACAGAAGAGATATTCCGTTTTTGTTGTAAAATAAATCACATTAAGCTATGGGCTGAGATTAATACCTCCTGTTACTATAAGAAAAGAAGATTTAAGAAGGTGATATCAGATATATAAAGATAAAGTGTTTTATTTTATGGAGTAACCCATACTAATACCAACTTGTATTAGCATATAACTCGAATTTCTTCTCTTTTTTTTTTTTTTTTTTTTTTGTTGCTTTTTAATCATTTCTCCTCAAACCAGAAGATAATGACACAAAGATGCTAGAATGCTTTAAAAAGAACCGGAAACCGAACCCTAAACAGGAGCCAAGAGATAAACCTCTACTCCTGTTCAAAATACCATATAGGAGTGTGAACCGTGCGAGAGGCGATTCGCACTCTTCGACGTTCTTTTGAATAGGTCGATCTATTGTTTCCTGTCTAAGATTGAGTTTTGGTTCCTTTTTTCCATTCTCTTTCACACTCCCAGTAAGTCCTTGCGTTTTATTTGCATTATCACCTTTCTTTGGAGCGAATTAATTAAAATGTAGGGTACTGAGTGTAAAAGAACATTATAAACGCTAGTGAGGAGAAAGGATAATAAAAGAACAGCATTCCGTAAGATAGCAATTGACGTTGCATTTAAATCTTTGAAAGTTACAGGGAAGCAAAAACACGGAAGGGAGTACTACAGACGAGAAGTGCTATAAAAGAAACTGTTAGAATAGAACTTACGGTTACATATATCTAGTTCAACAGTAAAACGGTGAGACCTACTTGCCAATCTAGTAGAACGCTTAAATTCTTGAGGTCGAGGTAGCAAGGATGTAAGCCCATTAGATCAATTGCTATGAAGATATTTATAGAAAAGAGGGAAGTCACGTTATGGCGGTGGGAAAGTCACTGATGTAGAGATAATTCTTTGAGATTTTAGCAAGAAATATATCTTAGCGCTTACTTATTTAGATGTCTGTTACATATTAAAATCACACGTATGCATCACATTACAAGTTGTCAGCAGGATGGACACATCGATGATTAACATTTTAATTTTCAGGTTTCGGGCACTGCGTTCATGTAATTTTAATAATTCAAGATCAAATGCCTCATACCCTTGCATCAGCAAAATACATCAAACTTTCATTGATTAAATGAAGAATATAAAATGTTACTTGTACTGGGGTTTTCGTGTAATGTTCTTCACACACACACAGAGAAAAACAGAATAAAAATTAATAAAAAAAATAATCTCGAATCTGAAGACGATTGTAAAGAGCTGATACCATAGAAAACATTACAAGAAAATTATTTCTAGAGAGCTGGCACAGCTTCTTCACACAATAGATTGAAAAGGTCATGACGGTTTATCTTTTACAAGGCGAAATTCACAATCCCGAAGGCTCCTATTTTTTATACAAAAAGAAATTTGAACCTCGCGGAAACTTCTTTTTTTTTTTCTTTTTTTTAATCTAATGATTTTGCTGATACGAGTATTTGCTTAAATAAGTTATAATCTTAAAATGTTTTCCCATAAAGTTTGCACATCTTTTCACGATGTAAAGAAATCCTATTGTGGACAGCTACTGCGAAGAACTAAATGTTCTACTAATGGTATCAGGTAGAAGGAATACAAATAATTTAAAGCTTGCTAGAGTTTTGTTATATTTTTCCAAAAGAATAATGTACGCGCGTAATTATATATTTGCGCAGAAATCCATCATTTAAACCTATTCTGTTTAATCTATATAAAATGTCACTCTCAGAGTGTCACACTTTTTCAATTAAAAGAATACAACTCTCAATAGTTCATCTCCTGCTTCTATAGTATAAATGCCAATGCCAGAATGTGTCACTGTGCCACACTTTATCCACTTTACTCCTAGGGGCTGTATCCCAACATATCATACATTTTTGGAATTAGCCCGATTCCGTGAGTACTTTAAAAACATTCTGGGCCGAACCCGGACCCGCAATCCTGAAATTTTAGATTTCCAAGTTTTCATTACTGCAATTGTTTTCGGCAATTTTTTACGTAATTTTTTGCGACGAAATTTTTTGTATGATAACAGTTTTTACAACTTGGAAATAAATTTGGGAATAATCGAAATTAATTGCGAAATCCATCAAAAGTCACCCATGAAATAAAAATAATTGTTTGTACGAAAAGTAAGGACTTGTGTACATCAAATTGTCTTTAAATTAAGTTGTGGCAGAAGAATTATTGTTTAAGGTAAGCTTAAATATTAATGCAATTATTTAAATACAGCGATCAATTTTGAGTTGTTCTGTAGTTTATTGTTGCTTATCGCATCTACTCTTTCCTACTTATTGTGATGACGGCCCAATCAAGATCCCTCCGCAGGAGCTAGTTTAAATGCCGCCCGATTCGGCGGTTTTTTAAGATAGTAAAACATGAAGGGAATATATGTCGAAGTAGTTATGCTGGCAATTCAAGAATTCTAAAGAGAAGACGTGTTTGTTTTAAATAAAAAAAAAGTTCTCGGCTTAATAAGGAAAGAAGTGAGTATGTTGAGTTTAATAAGATCTACGGTAAGAAGGAATTTCTTTTTTCTGTCACTGTATTATTATAACTTGTTTTATTATCACCAATTTTGTTTATAATCTATAAATTAAATTTTATCTTATGTATGTAAGAATGAAAAATAAACTAGCATCGATAGAGTACCGTTGGTAGTTTCAAGCATCCACTAAAGATCGTGGAAATATTCCCTGCAGATAAGTTGTAACATAAATATATGTTTGCATAAATGTATATTTCTATATGTAAATTATTTTCAGATAGAATGTATCTCTAAAGAGGCAAAAATAAATAAAAAGAGACAAGAGGAAAAACTATTCATAGCCGATGAATTCCGTCCTCAGAGACTTTATCAAGGACTTATTTTGTTTATATACAAATCGAGGATGTTATTGGTATATCAAGGCGTTTAAATTTGAGGACGTTCACAAATTTCATCAGTTGGTTCAAAGGTCAGTCAAAATGAGGACACAAGATGTCATAATTCAAAGTCTTGTAAAAAGTAAGCGAATAATATTCAAGAAAAAAAAACAACTTTTGAATGAATATTGTTTAAATTGTCGATGACATCCTCACTTTTGTATATAAACACGTGCAACAAAAATAAATCCTACATTGCCTTGATAAATACCCTCAGACGACGAAACACATCGGCTAAGAATAGAGTTTCCTCTTATCTCTTTTCATTCATTTTATTTTTTGATGTTTATATATATATATATATATATATATATATATATATATATATATATATATATATATATGAAAAATACTATATAACAAACAAACATATGAGAGTTTAGATATGATCAGAAATTTTGGACTACATACGTATATATATATATATATATATATATCTGTGTGTGTGTGTGTGTGTGTGTGTGTTTCTGCCTCTTGGTCTCTGCTGTGTTTCTTTCGAAATTTGACCATCAGCGTTTTTTTACAGCTTCATATACAATATGTCGATTATTTTTACATACATTCGTATGTTATTTAAATCCGAAACATATTTTTGAATAATTCTTCCTTTGGCCAGTGAATATTGCATCAATATTTTTTAGATGATAATAATCATCAATATAAGACTTACTAATTAACTCATAGATGGGAGGAAAAGAGGTGGATTAATACCTTTTCCAATGGTAATTGTATGTAAATGAATGTAACAAACCGAACAGAAATTCGAATTCATATTTCGCGCCGTTATACATCCAAGCTTATAGCGCCTGGTATTCCTAAGCTGTCAGCCATCTACGTACAGACCAGGCTCGATGTTGCTTAACTTTGGTGATCGGACGAGAACCAATGTTTCAATGTGATACGGCCTTAAGCCCATGTATATTACAGATCGCAACAATACTTGTTTTCTTTACGATTTCTCTTTGAATATGATAGTTGTTGATTTCTTCATTTCCTTAAACATGTCAATTAAATTACACGTTGCTTTCATTTTGTCTGAATTTGAATTGCTTTATGGTTTAAATTCCCCAAGCCTTCTTTCCCCGTTATGTGACCAAAGCATTTCATCTGTCTCAGTTTACCGTATACACTCGTGTGTAAGCTGACTTCATGTATTGTGCAACACCTATTTTTTTTTACATTAATTTTAACACCTCCAGAACAAAATTTCTTATGCATAGTGCAACCGGTTACACAAAATGCATGATTTTAACCCCTTCAAAAAATTACCTATGTATAGTGCGACACCCTATTTTTGTGTAAAAATTGATCATAAAAAAACTCGCACAATACTTCAGTATATTTATAATTCCTATTTCCCTTAAATCGTCATGGTTTTTTGTACACTTGGTCTGTGGTATTCTGTCGATAAACCATATTTCGATTTCATCAAGTCTTTTTGCGACAAAGTTTTCAAGTATTCGTTGTCATATTAAAATAACATAATATGGCAGTCCAGCATATACCCTCGTTTCTATTTGTCGATCCTGAAATACGTTATTAATTTTCTGAAAACATATTTCTATATTCTAATGCGCCTTCGGCTTTAATATACACATATTATTTGTTATCACTTTCCCTATGTTATAGGTGAGTATTCGTGAATACATATATGTATACGCTCACCTAATCCGTGTTAGACACTTATATAGACACGTATATACACTTGGATATAGATGTAAATAAAAATAGATAATGAAAAGGGTTTATAAAGATTAGCGTGTATGTGTATGTATGTTTGTCTACGATTATACTGTTTAGTAAATTATCCCATTAAATTCGATGAAATGAAATCTGAGAATGAATTCCATATAAAAGATAAAAGAAAGTTGATAAAAAGGAAATAAAAGAGAAATATGGACAAAAGATGAATGAAAGCAACTTGAAGCGAAGAAATCGCAGATAACGACGACGATATAAATAACTTCAAAGAAGCCAAATTTAAAAGATATTCACGTTGGGATTCGCAGCAACAAAAGCGTCTTAATTATTTCATTCAGTCAGCATTTAATGAACGGAGTAAGGAAAGACCACTACTTTAAACACAGACAATGATTACCAATGGTCAGCATTGTTGTTGATGTTGTTGTAAATTGTTGTTATTACTGTTAATATCTTGATCATCAACATCATCGGCATTTAAGTAAAGATAAGGAAAGACAGATTATTTTGTCGTAGTGGCTTTGATGATATCGCTGGACCATATTATTATTATTATTATTATTTGTTATGGGGTCCACCCTTATTTCATAAAAGTGGACTCGACCAGTGTGTATTTGTACTGCTGCCAGTGAATACCCGGGAGATAGTGTGGGTAACAGAGACGGAGAGATACACTGACACAGTGATAGAGTGAGGTAACTGCTTTGTAGGAGTCACAGTTGCGAGCACACGACTCAGAAGGAAGTCCTAACGATACTGAATTTCCCAGACTGTATATATATTATTATTAAAACCAACTGTCGCATTTCTGGATCTACTAACCGTATTACCAATTGTATTATTACGTCAATACATTTATTTGCTATATTTCATTCCTGCGTTTGTCATTCATTTGAGACCGGATTTCATCCTGGAATCCACATTATTATTATTATTATTATTATTATTATTATTATTGTTGTTGTTGTTGTTGATGTAGTTGTTGTTGTTGTTGTTGTTGTATCTTGTATGTTTGCTCACACCAGAAGACTGATATTTATCGCCAGGAATATAGTGGTATCCTCTTCTCAAATTTTTCCCAGGATCCACAGATTTCTGCTGGGCCGGATAGAATGCACGAATTCTCTCACCCTAGTAGCAGTATAATAGATACCGGTATGGAAAGGGTTCAAAAACCGGATTAGTATGTTGCATTCACTTTCGCCCAAAAGTCCTTGGGAAAGATATAAATCCGCCCCTTGTCCACCTCACCATAACAAGCGGTTACACTAAAAATCACCCTGTAAACTCTAAACTTGAGTCTTGGAGGGTAAAAACTATTCATTCCAAACCTTGTAAAATGTAAGAAAACTACTTCACTATCTATCACAAGAAGGCATGACAAGTGATATATAATAAGAAAAGGATACTGTAGAGACTCATAATCGCCTAAATGTCATTAAGAATGTAACTGGTGGCAATTAGTCCCCTCAATACTCCAACACTTTTATAATTTCATATTTAAATAATATTACTGATAGGATGATCTCTTTTTTTTCTTTTTCTTTTTTTGAACTTTCCATTGCTTTGTTTTAGTTATCTCTCAAGGGCAATGTCTATTTTTATCTAATTCCCCTTTTCTGACAATTTCACATCGTAGTGTGCTGAAATAGTTCTATAGATCTTAGAAATCTCTGATAAATTTTCATCTTATTATTTACCATGACGACATGTGATTTTTTTTTGTTTGGACCTATTCCAATGTTTCAAAGAATAGTTATTGGTTTATGCATATATAATTGGTTTCCATGTTCAGATTCCTGTCGCTTGTATAAGTCCCAAGAAATGACCTTTTCTAAACAGTCTATATTTGCACTTTTTCTAAGCAAACTTACTGTAATTAACTTCTTTATTATCTGTGCAGTTTGTATTTACTATTCTATTTTGATTTCAATACAGTTTCTTTTTCGATAATTTTTTTAAGTTTAAGTTTCTCTTCACAAGTGCCTTTTTCATAATCATTTCTATATCATCACATCTATAATTTGTTTTCTTTGATTCAATAATTTGCAAAAATACATTTGTCCAATCAGTTTTACTGCAAATTGTAGCTCCCATAATTTACATTTATAATTTTGATCTTAGACAGGGAAAATTCTACCGTACTTTTCATTCTCTGTACAAATAATGTACACTATACTTTAGTCCACGTACTGTGAATGTGGCTAAAAAAAGAAGCTTATCAATATTAGAGTTAAAATTTCTCCAATTCTATGTTGTCCATATTGGTACAATTTATGGTTCATTCAAAATATTTTTTATCCCCAGGCGTATTTCGTGGTTAATACACTTATTACTATCATCATTAATATAATAATTACATTAATCTAATATAAAAGCATCAGGATGTGTGTCCACTGGAAATCTTGAAAATTAATCAAATATTTATATTTAAACTTCGAATTTTGGGTATGTCAGGTCTGGATATATATATATATATATATATATATATATATATATATATATATATATATATTGGGGGTGGTGACCGTGTTTCTGTGTGTACAAATATTACATATAATTGTAACATTAACTAAAAGCCATTTTGCCAGTTATTCATGTATTTTATATTTTATATAGTTTATTGAATCTTCCTTAATGAAGCTAACTAATTTGCATATTCAGTTTTAAAAATCAAATTAAAAAATAGCTTAATATGATTTTTGGTATTTTGTATTTGTTTTGTTTCTTCATATTGTTTTGTTGAAGGTGTTTTATTGAGATTGCTTAGTTATTCAAATGAAATCGGTTCTGCACTGAAAATAAGATCTATTTCAGCCTTTAGATAACGTCTTGAAATTAAAGTGAAGTAAGCAATATATTGTATTCTTCATGTTATTCTCAGCATCCTACTGCAGAAGCACAATTCTATTACCTTAAGTCTCATCAACTATGAGGAAATTGTCCAGATTTCCATATAAGTCACTTTTCTTGGTTTCTAATGGAAATTTCATGTAGAAACATGAAATTTTACTTAAACTTTAGAAGACATTTGGATTTTCGGTGTCACGTTTGCTGACAACCATGCAATTTATTTGTACAATTCATATTTAGTCCTTTTGTTTTACTATCTTCTGTAGGAGTTGCTGTAGTTTCCTTTATGTGTCTGTTAGCATCACTGTGTTATCTGCACATATAATGTTGTTAAAATTGCAGTCTCCAATTATGAATCTTTGTAGGACTTCTAATTCTCTCAGGATCAATTCACTGCGGAGGTTGAATAAGTCTGGTGACATTATTGTTTGGGATTGAAATAAAAATAAGATTTATAAATCTTATAGTGTGCCAGCTGTAGAGGCATTGGTTCTGATATTCATCACTCGTTGTGTTCGCCTCTCGCAGAATGTTCAACGTTAACTTCAGCTAAATCTCATTTAAAAGTCTCTCCTGGTGACACAACGATGAGAAAAAAACATTTCTCGTAAATTAACTCTACATATTACTGTTTGAGCCAAAGTTCGGTATTGTAAGAATTAACACAGGTGCACAAAGTTACTGTTCAGAAACGTAATTCATGCTACATTCAATTATTACACTCTGTGAAAATTCTGAATTATTCATAAGTCGACTCAATTCCAGAAATCTGATCAAATAACCAAATATAAAATCTTTCTTCGGAATGATTTCTTGGCCAGGCTCGAAATTTTTACAGCACTTCTTCATGTGACCTTGTGTTAGATTAATTTTCATCAATATCAACACAGATATAAGAAAATATATAAATTAATGTTCGATATATAAATATTGTTATTCGAAATATCACTTGTTACTAGCATATCATTTATATACTAGCATATATTTATATATATATATATATATATATATATATATATATATATATATATATATATATATATATATTAATTGTGTGTGTGTGTGTGTGTAGTGTTGGTTTCCCTGTTTCCCTTTTTTTTTATAAAGGGCTGTGGAGATGTTCCTGTCTCGTCGCTTTTTGTGTATATATATCTAAATATGTCTGGGTGCCTATGTATTATAATCTGATTGTGTTTTTTGTTGTTTTGCGCGTGAATTTAAGACCCCATTCACACACTTGGGATTAAAATATATATACATGTATTGTCAAATGACCGGATATTGTAGCGTCTGTTCTAACGTAATTTCAACGAAGAAATAATTGAATAACATATGTATTTTTTCTTTTCTCCTCAGTAATTTTATAGTTTTTAAACTTAATAGTGATTAAATTTGGATTTTAAAATTGGCAGTTTTTAATTTAAATATCAAATTTTATCATATAATTTAATAATTATTGGTTAGAATAAATTCTTTTATTAATAATACCCGTATTTTAAAGATCTGAATAGCTATTATAACATGATTTCGTTGTCAAGCTTTTGAATCTTCCTATACTTGGGTTTTGATTGGTCATTCTAGCTTTTGTAACAATGTTTTCCCCTAGCGAAGGATCGTTAAATAATTTGAAACTTTTAAAACCATTTATTTTATATTCAACATCATCACTTGATAAGACACCGGAGGTGTTGAAACAAAATGGCTATTTTTGTAGTGATTTTATAACATATTTATGTTATAATTTCTTTTTTTTATGAAAAATTAATTATATATATATATATGTGCGTGTATATATATATATATATATATATATATATGCACAAGTACTTCCTATGACAGCTTTGAACAAGGACACAGTGGCGGTGAGCATATATGCAGGCTCCAACTCATAATAGTAATGACGCTCGGGAGAATAACTTAATTACATCATCGCACAGTGACACAGAATATAGTGTATATATATATGTAAGAGTAGGTCTATATGATTTAAAGTATTTTGTGTATTTTAAGGAAAATGTAAAAATAAAAATCTAGGAAGAAGGAAATGAAACAAAGGAGGAAAAGTAAGACAGAAGGAAAATAAAGAAAGAAGTAGAAAGAAGTAGAAAGAAATAAAAGAAGGAAAAGAAAGAATGAAGAGAAACAGAAAGAAGGAAAAGAAAAAAGAAAGAAAGAAGCGAAAAAGAATAAACGAAAGAAAAGAAAGAATGAAAAATATGAAAAAAGAAATAGAAAAAGACAGAGAAAAAAGAAAAAGACAGAGAAAAAAGAAAAAAACAGAGAAAAAGAAAAGACAGAAAAAGACAGTGAAAAAAGAAAGAAAGAGGGAAAAAGAGGAAAAGAAAGACAGAGAAAAAGAAATAGGCAGAGAAAAAGAAAAAGACAGAATAAAAAGAAAGACAGAGAAAAATTAATAAATAAGAAAGAAAAAAGAAAAAGAAATTCAAATGATACTGAGGACTATAACATATGAACGTTAACATGAATAATCAGACTTTTGGGCAGAATGAATATTATAATGAAAAGAAAGAAAGAAAGACTACAGAAGGACAGCCAATACACAGTTGTTGTTTTTTCTTTTCTTTTTTTATCCCGAGGGCAGAATCAACAAATCTGATTAAGTGATTAACTTCCAGCCAATGAGATTGACAAATAAAAGCATTTTCGTGTTTTAATGACTGCTAGGGTCTAAACCAAGTACCAACCAATGAATATAAGAATGAACAAAAACGATTGTGACACTGGCTATCTGGCAAATTTTCATTAATGAAAATACGACAGAAAAATCGATATTCATAAACATATGTAGGTCACTTGCAGTCGAGTAAATCAAAGTATAGCCTTACTATTTAACTAATTGTGTTACTACTTTTAATCCTACAAACTGCATCGAATTTTAAAGATATCATTCCAACCCTTTGACAATAAAAGATATTTTTTAAAATTTAATTTTGAATTAAAAGAAAGGCATATAAGTGAAACCACTTAACCGTTTTAACTATATGAAAAACCAATAACTTGCGTATTAATATAAGAAGCATTAAACAGATAAAGTTTGTAAACTAATAAGTATTAAGTGGATAAACTTTGAAGCCGATTTGTTTATATATATATATATATATATATATATATATATATATATATATATATATATCGTATTTTATGGATGTTGGGTAAGTTGCAGTAACACAAGACAGTAAACTTAAAGACTTCTGTCAAGCGTTTTTGATAGAAGTTTCCATTATGAACTATTACCTAATGTTTCCTGATATTTTGATGAAAAAAAGCTCAGAAGTGTTATCGTAATTTGCATATTTACTTCATACTGTTTAAGGGAACCGGTTTTACCCCCAAAGATTAATAATCAGAATTACAACAAATATGTTAAAATCTTATAATAATAATTGCATACATTTTGGTCATTTGGCCAGATTAGCGGAATTATGTCGATTCGGAAATCTTTCGCCAAGGTCTCGTATATAATTATACAGTAAATTCTCAAGTTAGGAAAAAAATAGAACAATTACAACAATATTTTAACAATGAATTCAACTGAATAAAGCATATGAAATAAATAACCTTAGATTTTCTTTTTGTTATAGAAAAAAGAACATAACTTGAGAATCTTCAAAAGCAGCAATAGCTAAAATGGATATATATGTAACTCGAAAGGAAATTAATGACATAACCAAGATGAAATTTCACAGTACTTCAATTATAAAAGGTTAGAAATTAAAAACCCTTTAATATATGAAAAGAGCAATAAAAGCTACTGGACATGAGAAACTTATTTTCCTAAAAATATTTTTTTAACACAAAGACTTTATAAATTTCAACCGTACTAGTTTCTAGGACAATGAATGCTGAACGTTTCCTTATAAGGAAATGACTATTATTATTGGCTTTGTTACCGCTTCCAAACGTTCTTTTAATAATTTGATGCATTAACAAGTAAAAAATATTTTACGATAAGGAAAATCCAATGATTGAGAGAGAATTTTACAATCAATTTCAATCAAAATATGTTTTACCAAGTTTCAGCGCTTGCTATGAATATTGCAAAATACAAGCGTGGAAGAAAAAATATTGTTTCCATCCCAAGAAATGTGTTAATACCACTTTACTCCCTTTGCAAGCAATCTTTCAGCAAAGATAAAGGAAAAATATCTTAGAAAGCTATTGAAAATATCGCAATTAGATTTCTCTTAGTATATTTTCTTAGCACATGAGTATAATCTTTTGTATCTCAGATTATGTAGGGTTTCATGGGATTTTCTTAATGCCACAGTATTCTTTTTAATTATTTCTAGTGCTTCTGTTATTAATGTAATAGTAATTTTGTTCAAATTCCTGGTGTTTCTATTTAAAAGACTATTTTTTAATTAGCTTTTAAGCTAACCCCTAAGAAGGGGTGATTGGGCTTTTGGACAAAAGCTCAAAAAGACCTCTGGTCCACCTTAGAAAACAGCAATGATAATGTGAAGAAATAAATTTGAATTCTTCAATTCACTGTATGGAAATTCAAAATCCCACTTTAACTCTGATTCGGGTTATAAGTCCAATTCCGGCCAAAGGATCAATTTGGGTCGAAAATTGATTTATTCAAATCACAAACACCGTGGAACTTTAACTGAGATGAATTCTTCAAATCAAAATCTCTGCAGAACTTCAAAACATCACGTAACGAAATCTCTCATTTTAACTCTGATTCCTTGGCATTTTAAAACATTTTTTTAAATGTACAAAGTTTCTGTGTTACTTTAAACAATATAAATTAAACACTTTTGAAATCAGTAATTTTTTTTCAGTAATTTTCAATTTTCATCATCCGGATACAAATAGCAATGCTCGTTGTTCAAGCATCACATGAAGGGCATATTTTCAATCCTGGGATCATATTGATTCCAAAAGGTATAACATGTCTATGTAAACCAAGCGTGGCTCGAGTTCGAGGGGTTTCAGACACACATTGGTCAGAATTTTGCTAAGATATTTTTTGGTAGGGTGTCCATGCCTTACATTTCCAAAAGCTTTTATTGTATCTGGTCACTTTGTATAGTGAAGTCAGTTTGTACGATGTTTTCTGATTTGCTCTTTGATATAATACTTTACCAGTATTTTTACATGAGAACAAAAGTAAGGAGGGTTTTCCTTAAAAAGTTATTGAGCGTATTAGATACAATTTTTCTATATATATATATGTGAAAGTTGCTAATAAGCGCAATCTGTTTTATGTCAGACAATAAGTGGTATTCCAGTCTTTCTAACGTATATATCATAATCTATATTTTTTTTTATCCATTCCTAGTTTTCCTATTATTATTGGATTGTTGGTTATGTTTCATTGGTACATTAATGTTATTTCTATTTCTACACCTTCATATTTTGAAAATGTGCTATTTTATACATATAATCGGCAGTTTCTACCTACGTTCTAAATATCGTGGAAAGTAGATGTGATTATGATGGTTAAATGTAAAACGTTCTTTGGGAATTATTTAATTAAAGAAATAATAGTAAAAATGAATCAATCGATAAATACACAAAAATACTTTTGTCGAGTTTAGAACCGGAGCTACAAGCTAGTTAGTTTAACGATTCTGATGGAATAGTCCTACATTTTTTAAGGGCATTTAACAAACAGTTCGGATATTTGGCTTGAAGGAAATTTCCACAGAAAATATACGATCACATGAGAATATTACCAAAGTCTCTCCTCGTTGTAATAAAAAATATTAAAAAAAAGAAAATCCGGCTACCAAAAGTAGAAGGTTTTAGAAGATCTGGGAGCATCGAAATGTATAATGTCTAGCATTATATAACTTTAAAGTCTACTGGAGATCTCGAAACGCCCCCCACCCCAATAATTAACATGCTTTTGATATAGCTCCCCCTCCTCCCAAAATTTAAACTGAAACAGTACGCTAACGATCGGTATACTTATAAAATCCAACTCACAAAAATATAATAATTACTTACAATATAGACATTTTTTTTCATTTTTTTTCTTTCACTTGAAACGTTATTCCAATTCCTATTCATACTTTTCTTTTTCCACGTCATTCGCTTTTATTTTTTATATTTATTTTCTCAATTTACTTGCGCTTAGCTCTTTATATTTAATCATTATTCTTTGTCGTGCCAGCCAATAATGTAATTTTTTAGGTAATATGAACAATGTTCAAACTAAAAAGAGAGAACTGACCCCCCAACAGTGACTTGCATCCGATGAAAAGAAAAATCCACTAATATCTTGTTCCTTTTACCCAGAGATGACAATCAGCAAACTAAATGTGTCGTGGTCGAGAGAAATAAATAAATAAGAAATAAGAAAAGGGCAAACTGAAAAAAAAATGGGAAAGAAGAACAAATTCGTAAGGGGAAGGAGGAGAAAAAGGAAAGAGAAAGAAGGACAGAGAGGAAATAAAAAGAAAGGAATGGAAAGGAAAGGAAAGGAAAAGAAAAGAAAGGAAAGGGAAAGGAGTACAGAAAGGAAAGGGAAAGGAGCACTGAAGAAAGGAAAATGCGCACAGAGAGGAAAAGCAAAGGGGGACAGAGAGGAAAAGCAAAGGAGTACAGAGAGGAAAAGGAAAGGAGGACAGAGAGGAAAGGAAAGGAGTACAGAGAGGAAAAGGAAAGGAGTACAGAGAGGAAAAGGAAAGGAGTACAGAGAGGAAAAGGAAAGGAGTACAGAGAGGAAAAGCAAATGAGGACAGAAAGTAAAGGGAAAGGAGTACAGAGAGGAAAAGGAAAGGAAAGGAGGACAGAGGAAAGGGAAAGGAGCGCTGAGAGGAAGAGTAAAGGAGGACAGAAAGGAAAGGGAAAGGAGGACAGAAATGAAAGGGAAAGGAGGTCAAAAAGGAAAAGGAAAGGTGGACAGAGAGGAAAGGGAAAGTAGTACAGAGAGGAAAAGGAAAGGAAAGGAGGACAGAGGAAAGGGAAAGGAAGACAGAGAGGAAAAGGAAAGGTGGACAGAGAGGAAAAGGAAAGGAGGACAGAGTGAAAAGGGAAAGGAGTACAAAAAGGAAAGGGAAAGAAGGAAGGAAAGGAAAGGAAAGGAACCAGAACGGAAATAGAAAGAGGACAAAACGGTAAGGAAAGGTGGGGGACAGAAAGGAAAGTAAAAGAAGGTCAGGGAGGATAGAAAAAGGAAAACAGAAAAGAAAAGAAAGGAAATGAAGACAGAAGGGAAAGGGAAAGAGAGTGTAAAGGAAAGTGAAAGAAGGCAGTAAAGGAAAGGTAAAGGGGTGCAGGAAGGAAAAAGAAGGGAGAGAAAGGAAAAATGAAAGGACAGAAATGAAAGGGAAAAAAAGAACATTTGAAAATGGGAGCAAATGTAAAAGGGAAGCACAAATATAAAGAAAGAGTTCACTTAGTACACAGTGATCGCGCCACTCCACACGACCTGGGAGGCCATAGACAGAGCTCTGTGGGAAGTCCATCTCCAATTTTGCCCACTTTTTCAGATGAAATATTCCGGCTTGTATAACCTGACAGTAAAGAAGTGAAAAACGATGCTTTGAAGATTTGAACTCATTCATATTTCTTTTTACTTTCGCTTATTCATCCGGTCTCTTGAGGGATCCCGGTGTTTTCAGTATTTAAGTCATTCTGTGATGGCGGCGATTTTATAAGAACAATATTGTACGGAGAATAAACAGCCTCAAAAAAGGGAATACGATTACCGTGAAAAAGAACATTATTCGGGTAATGAAAACAAGTACCAGAAAAAACAAAAAGCATCAGTTCTCATTGATATCTCTCACTCATGATTTGGGTAATTAGGGCTCCCCATATTTTCTTCTTTTGTAATTTTTGCTAGCTTGCAAACCTTCTTTCTCTTTTTAATTGTTCTATCATCCATTTAGTCAAACTAGGCTAATAATTTATTCTATATTACTCCTACTTTTCTTGACTTGAATGGCCATTGGTTGCTAAATTCTGCAAGACTCCTATCTAAAACATAACTAAATCTAACATCAAAGAGAGGGAGAGTTTCAGTTCATTACGTGTTTGAAATTGTTATGCACATTTATTTATTGCCTAGCATGTGACGAAAATGGCTGACAAAACTCTTAGTTATTTACAATAAATTCCCTGGCTTATACATGTCTACACTATTTCAGAATTCATTAATGTAGTATATTTGTACGTTAATGTCGACTCATGGGTAATCCATAACTTTCGTCATTCTTTCATCTATTGGTTTAAGCAAATTTTCTGCTGTTTCAACTTTAACATTACTTACAAAATTTTTCAATTGCTTCCCAAATATGATCTTTTTTCGAATATTGTTTTCCATTTTCTTTATACAGCTCTTTTTAATATATATATATATATATATATATATATATATATATATACTAACACACATTGTGAAATGGACAATTAATTTAAGACATTTTTATGTTTATACATTCTTTTTTATAGAAACAAATATTTAAGTAAATGCTCTGTTTATAATAAACAGTATTAAACAACATTTACCGACCTGAATTTCCGAGAAATTTTCATAGAAAATATGCGTCTTCCGACAGGAATCGAACCTGTATCCTATATGGAACCGTCATATAGCCTGACGTGCTTTTACCGATTCAGACGCAGAGGAGCGTTTCAGTTAGTAAGTTTAAAAAAAAACCCAGTAAAATCGACCAACCTAACCGAAACGCTTCTCTCTCTGTGGTTAAATCGGTAAAGCACTTCAGGCTATATGACGGTTCTATATAGGATACAGGTTCGATTCCTGTCGGAGGACTTATATTTTCTATGAAAATTTCTCGGACATTTAGGCCGGTAAATGTTGTTAATACTGTTTATTATGAACAGAGCATTTATTTAAATATCTGTATATATATAAAAAGTAAGTGTGTGTATATATATATATATATATATATATATATATATATATATATATATATATATATATATATATATATATATAAAGGAAATATGTTGTAGTGGTTCCAACGAGAAAAAGTATGTATATTAAAAAGAAGAGGGGTGCCGCAAACGTTTTTTGGTTGTAATGTGGATTTATTGAGAAAAATATTATACTTTGTTTTATATATATATATATATATATATATATATATATATAAAAAAAATAACAATTCTTTTTTAGTCATATTCATACCATCATATTTGAAGCGAACTATAATTTTACTGCTTAAAATTCTGCACTAAAGTATCACTCCATCTCCCTTTTGTTACCTGCTAAGTTGTGCTATTTGACTCCTTCTATGCAGGTCACAACTTCGGAGTCAGCTATCAGGTTCATTTAATATAGCTGTTCATTCATCACAAAAATATTGTTAAGAAATCGGTTTTCGTGTACTTCTTTCAGCTAACATATTTCTCTCTATGAATTTTAATCAAAGAATAAGATTTAAGAAAACTCGTATATTTCTTTATTATAATGTGTACCGTGAATATCTTAATCATGACTTAACCTCAATGTTTTATTTTTAATCATTTCTCCCCAAGCAAGGTGATGATGGCACTAAAACTGAGGTTACTGAGTGTGAAATAAAATGAGAAAATTTTAATAGGGTGAAAGAACAATAAAAAGATAGGATTCCGGAAGACTAATGGCGATTTAAATTTAAATTTTTGAAAACGGTAAGTAACAGGGGGACAAGAAAGCGGAAGCGAATTCCCCTGTCGAGAAAATCTTTGTTTGAGAAAAGAAGCTATTAGAATAAAAAATTACGTTTGCATCGAGCTACTTCCAGATTAAACGATTAGCTCTATTTGCCAATCTAGTAGCATGCTTAAATTCATGTCATCGATGCTAATTAGAACAATTGCTATGAAAATATTTATATAAAAGGCACGGAAGAGCTATGTTATGGCGGTGGAAAATTGATTCAAGTCAAGATGCTAGGCAAGGACCGATAACATTGTAGATCCTTCTTTGGATTTTGTCATGAATCTCAGCAGAAGCACCAGACCAAGTGTGGCAGCAATATTCAATGCACGGATGAATAAATGAAGACGTTCTCATTTTATTGAATTTCCTTTAAGATATTTGACTATATTATATTGTTATGTTATGTAATAATTTCTGTTTTAATCATTATTGTCATCAGTCCCATGACCAGTTGTAGGGTCCCTGTGCAACTGAGCACATAACAAAATCTTTCCTCATATCTGGGTTTAAATCTTTCCTCATATCTGGGTTAGAATGGCAGACATTCATGCATAGCGAGTCTTGAGCAAATACACCTAGTAGAGACCATCCCTCTCCAGGTCAAAATTACAACTGATTTCCTCCAATCTAAAAGTTCTCCTTGCTTACGGACATGTGGCCGTTGATTATATTAGGGAAACATTGACTTCAGTCTAGGAGACCTTCCGTCTAGATACGTCGTGAAATTACCACACTGACTGCATACATAGCTATGGAGCTTGGTTTACCCCATTGTACTGAATGGCTGTTGATCTTAGAAGAATGTTCATCCATTCTTTGACAGGTCTTTATTTTAATCCTGATGGTTGCCCTGACACCCTTCTTGCTAAAAAAAAAGCCTGGTTGGGGAACCGGTTTTGTCACCGACGACCCGACAATGAGTCATTTAGTACTGATTTATATGTTACCAGTAGCGTCCGCAGTGTGACCTGACATAAATCTTTTATAGATAGCAAAAAAGTTTTTGCATTATATAAGGATTTATATAAATGAAGACTTTGTGTAAAATTCTAGTAATTTCAATAATAAACGGCATTCCATTTCCACCAGCGCATTTTACAGTACTGATAACACGACAAAAACTTTTTCAAGATCAGTCTTTTTTTTTATTTCATATGAATAAAACTGGCAAAAGCTGTAAAAAAAGAGTTCTCATATTTGTTTTAGTTTTTTGTACATTGTGGATATCGTAGGTTTTAAAACACAGAACACAAAAACTAAGCTAAGAGCAAGATATTTACTGCTTTCATTTTTTTTTTTTAATTTGTCTTCTTTGGTTAACAGATAATATCATTAGTCTTCTCTTTACGACTGAGTCATATCAAGCAATGTTTATTCCCTTTGGAGTCAATTCGAACGAATACTTCCAAAGCAGGAAAGTTGTTGGATTTTTTTTCTTCAAGTCTAAATGATCATTTTCTTTGTTAAATGAACGTTACAGAAAGTTCTCAAAAACTTTTTAAACAAAACAAGACTCTTCATTTCAGACAAAAACAAAAGTTTTACGATAAGGATAAACACCCACACTAACGCAAGCATTTTTATCGAGAGAGGAAACTAAAATTAAATCAGGCAAAAGATAAAATCTTCCCAGTAAGTGAGATTCAATCATACCATAGACCAAAGAAATTGTGACGCAAGATCAGAGATAATTAATCAATTAAATAAATCAATCATTATAATCATTATATCCATCAACAGTATTATGTCTATCATCATTATAACTGTTAACATCTTTTTCTTCTTATTGTTATTTTCCTATTATAGTCGTTAGTATTAGGCACTAATATAATTCACTATTATCAACGCTAGCATTCTTATAATCATTATTATGATTACTATCATAATCATCATTAGTATCCAGTTGACAAATAATATTTATCTTTATTGTACTGTAAGTTTCATCTGTATCTATTATATTCACTTATGTGCTAATACCACTGGGAAAGGTATGAATTCATCTCTTCTCCCACAGCTATGTATAAATAGCAGGATATACAGGGTTTTATAGCCTTGGTTGGCGACTAGTCTATGAGGAGGTAAATTGTGAATTCAAATCAACCTGCGGAAGATTGAGTTCCATAACGCTATCATGTCCTGGAAAAACTTCTACTGCGGCGGCAATATATGTAGTGCCCCTAAAAACTTAATGGGTTACGGGTCTCGTAATCGTCTACTAATTAATTATATATATATATATATATATATATATATATATATATATATATATATATATATATATATATTACTGGTAAAACCCGTAGGGTAAGTAATCCAAGTGAATCTTAATATAAAATATTAAAACTGATCTACAAAAGAGAGCTCAGTATATTTATTATAGAGCATAGAAATGAATTACATAAAATGAAACTCAACTGTATACCACACACACACACACACACATATATATATATATATATATATATATATATATATATATATATATATATATATATATAAATATATATATTATTTTTTTCTCTCTTCGAGAAATTCTTCTGAAACTTGTCAATACTAAATATTTTGATAAAAAAACGTTTTAGAATTGACAAGCTCCAGGGAATTTCTCGAAGAGAGAAATGGTCATTTATATGGAGTACAGTTGAGTTTCATTTTTATGTAATTCATATAATATATATATATATATATATATATATATATATATATTTGGTTGGATTGATGTGATTTTGTGACCCTGGGTTTCAGGCTTTTGCGATCGTCAGACAAACTGTTTAATTTTTTAAAAATTTGGGT